TTGGGAACCCAAGTAAGGAATTCTAGATACATGGCTCGTTTGGAAGCTGTAATCTCAGGAAACAAGCTCGTTGCATTACATGGTTGGTGGAAGCTCTCCTGCCTGAGTAGGATGATGCTTGGGTGGCCAGCCAGGGCTGTGAATGCAAAAGCCCATTTTTGTGGTGTATGAAGAGATACTTTTTTTCCTTTCCTCAGAGACAACAGCATTGTGATTGTGGTGGGGGAGACGGGGAGTGGGAAGACGACTCAGCTGACACAGTACCTCCATGAGGATGGCTACACAGACTACGGCATGATCGGCTGCACCCAGCCCCGCCGCGTGGCGGCCATGTCAGTTGCCAAGCGGGTCAGTGAAGAGATGGGTGTGCGTCTGGGAGAGGAGGTGAGTCTGGCGGTGGGTACAGCCTGATGGCAGTGAGTGCATGGGGCTGCTGGAAGACTTGCTGGTCTCTCTGCCCTCCCAGGTGGGCTATGCCATCCGCTTTGAGGACTGCACGTCTGAGAACACTGTGATCAAATACATGACAGATGGGATCCTTCTTCGTGAGTCACTGCGAGAGGCTGACCTGGACAACTACAGTGCTATCATCATGGATGAGGCACATGAGCGCTCACTCAACACCGACGTGCTCTTTGGCCTGCTTCGGGAGGTGTGTGTGAGCCTGGACTAGTGGACAGCAGCACGGGACGCACGAGCTGGTCTTAAAGCAAAATATTGGCAGGGACAGCCCTTTTCTACCAGCTCTGGGAGAGCTGCCACATCTCTGTACTGGCTGCTCCAACAGCCTGGTCCCTTTTCTGGGGTGTTAAATCTCCCCTGGTGCCAGAGTGCTGCCAGAAGCTTTTTGGCTAACTGTCAGAAACTCTAGTCATAGAGATCTTTGCTGTCTTAAGGCTTCCTGAATCGAGGTTGACGGGCCTTTTTAACTGCACAGATCATAGAGCATCTGTGTTCCCCGGTGTTGGTGGCCAGTGCCTCTAGAGTACAGCAGAAGCTCTGTCCTGTGCTGTTTTCTCAGTAATAATGGAAGCAACCTGCAGCATGCACAAATGCCCGTTCCTTTCATCTGCTTCCTAGGTGGTGGCCCGACGCTCGGATCTGAAGCTTGTCGTCACCTCAGCTACCATGGATGCAGACAAATTTGCCTCCTTCTTTGGGAACGTTCCCATCTTCCACATTCCTGGGCGCACTTTCCCTGTTGATATTCTTTTCAGCAAGGTACAGTCAGTGTTGCAGAGGGAAGTTCTGTTGTGACAGGAGGGGGTTGTGTACTGGACTCTGTGGTGGACAGGAAGGATAGAGGAGTAGTAGCCATGCTATGATGCGGTCTCGCACACAGGACGGGGCAGGTGAGATTATTGGCATCTGTAATCTGGGTTGTGCCTTTCAGACCCCGCAGGAGGATTATGTGGAGGCTGCGGTGAAACAAGCCCTGCAGGTCCATTTGTCTGGTGCTCCTGGAGACATCCTCGTCTTCATGCCTGGCCAGGAGGACATAGAGGTGAGCTGGAAGGGCAGGCACTGTCCTACCCACCTTGTTGTTTTAATCTGCAATCACCCCTCTTTGTGTCTAGGTGACCTCAGAGCAAATTGTGGAGCACCTTGAGGAGCTGGAGAAGGCACCTGCCCTCGCTGTACTGCCCATCTATTCTCAGCTGCCGTCGGACTTGCAGGCCAAGATCTTCCAGAAGGTGCTGATGTGTGCTCTGTGATAGGAGTGGGGACAGGGGAAACCTGGAAGCTGAGGGAAAGCACGTGTCTCCCTCAACTTCCCAAGAGTCGCTTCTCTCCTGGGTTCTGTGTTGCTGCTCTGCACTCTTCCTTAGTGGTGCGGAGTCCCTTGCCCAGGGACGTGACTGATGGGCAGTATGCTTGCAGGCTCCGGATGGGGTCAGGAAGTGCATTGTCGCCACCAACATTGCAGAGACCTCGCTGACGGTGGATGGCATCATGTTTGTGATTGACTCTGGCTACTGCAAGTTGAAGGTAAGCCAAGGTTTCCTGTAATGTTCATGTCTGATCTCTGGGGCTGGGTTGAGGGAGTTCTGTGGTAGTGACCCAGCCTTCCTCTTACTTCAGTCTGTTCTTCTTGTGCCCTGCAGGTTTTCAACCCCCGTATAGGCATGGATGCGCTGCAGATCTACCCTATCAGTCAAGCCAATGCCAACCAGAGGGCAGGCCGAGCTGGCCGAACAGGACCAGGCCACTGCTTCAGGTAGGCATGTCACTGGTGTTCCTGTTGCATCAGCAGCTTGTCATCAGGCGTTATATACGTTTTTCCCACTGGAGCTGTTCATTGTCTTGAATTTCTGGGGGGATGAGGGCAGTAGGCAGGCCTTGAGGCCTTCTCTTCTGGGCACGGGGCCTCTGCAGAGGAAAGGATATTCTCCAGTTTCCTCCCTTGCCCATTGTGCCTTGTGGCTGTTCTGCCCTTGATGCTGACAGGATAACAGCCAAGCCAAAGGCAGCCTTCTCAAGGCTTCGCTTTGAGATGGGTCTGTGCCCAGTGAAGGATGGTGCTTGAGCAGGATGTATGCTGTACTGCAGCCCAGGCACCCTGATGTGGTGGGGAGGCCACGCTTTGACCAGGGTGGAGGTTCCTCCCTGGGCTCCTGCTGGCTGGCCTGGCTGAGCACAGAGTTGAGCCATGCCTGGCTGGGTTGGGTGACAGCTGGTGAGTCAGTAAGGAAGAAACACAGTGGCCTGAATTGGAGGAGCATGCTCTTGGCGTCTGTTCCCCAGGCTCTACACCCAGAGTGCCTACAAGAATGAGCTGCTGACAACCACGGTGCCTGAGATCCAGCGCACTAACCTGGCCAATGTAGTGCTTTTGCTCAAGTCCCTGGGTGTGCAGGACCTGCTGCAGTTCCACTTCATGGATCCACCCCCTGAGGACAACATGCTGAACTCCATGTACCAGCTGTGGATCCTGGGAGCCCTGGATAACACAGGTATTGGCATGTCGGCCCATGGCACTGGCACCTGCCCAGCTGCTGATCCCTGTGCTGTTCCTACAGGTGGCCTGACCTCGACAGGACGTCTCATGGTGGAGTTCCCACTGGATCCTGCGCTCTCCAAAATGCTCATTGTCTCCTGCGACATGGGTTGCAGCTCTGAGATCTTGCTCATTGTCTCCATGTTGTCTGTGCCTGCCATCTTTTATCGGCCTAAGGTACCTGTTTGCTCTTTCAGCAGTTTGGGGTCTTCCCCTGACTTTTGACTAACCTGTGTTCTTTGTTTACCCTTCAGGGCCGAGAGGAGGAGAGTGACCAAGTGCGGGAGAAATTTGCTGTTCCAGAGAGCGATCACTTGACTTATCTGAATGTTTATCTGCAGTGGAAGAACAACAGCTACTCCACACTGTGGTGCAACCAGCACTTCATCCACGCCAAGGCCATGCGGAAGGTGAGGCTGTGGCAGCGAGGCTGGGGGGAGGGAGCCTTACGCAGCGGAGGGATCCAACTGCTGCTGCACACCATTGCAGGTGCGAGAGGTGCGTGCCCAGCTGAAGGACATTATGGTGCAGCAGCGGATGAGCCTAGCATCCTGTGGTACTGACTGGGATGTTGTCAGGAAGTGCATCTGTGCTGCGTATTTCCATCAGGCTGCAAAGCTGAAGGTGAGAGGTGTCTGTGCTAGTCTGGGGGCTGAGAGGCCCTGTCTGGGGACAGGTGGGATAACCACACTTCTCTTTGCAGGGCATTGGGGAGTACGTGAACATCCGCACAGGCATGCCCTGCCACCTGCACCCCACGAGCTCTCTGTTTGGCATGGGCTACACGCCAGACTATATCGTGTATCATGAGTTGGTCATGACCACCAAGGTGAGCTTGAGCTGAGGGCTAGCAAGAAGGGTGAGGGGTGCTCTGAGGGAGATGGGAGGGCTTTGCTGTGATGCTAGAATCTATCAGAAGGGCAGTTCTCAGCTATTGTCATCAATACCAGCCAGGCATGTCTGTGTCATCTGCAGAGTCCTGTTTGTCACTTTCCCGATACTTTTTCCTGGCCCCTGTGGGACATGTTTGAACTGCTTTGTGGTCTCACCAAGTCCAGCCCATAGCAGCTTCTGAGGCCAGGAGGAATTGTCTGGCAGGGGTATAGTCCCAGTTTGAGCTGCTGTGGCTCTGGAAATGGCATCCAGGCCCTGAGAGTGCCATCCTGCTATCCTGCTCTTTCCTTCTGTCCCTGTAGGAATACATGCAGTGTGTCACTGCTGTGGATGGAGAGTGGCTGGCAGAGCTGGGCCCCATGTTCTACAGTATCAAACATGCTGGCAAGTCACGCCAGGTGAGTCTCCTGTCCAGGATGAGCTGGCAGACAGCAAGCCCACTGCATGCCTGTTCTAGTGCAGTGTGTGTGTGTGTTCTGACACCAAGGGAATAGGCCTGTGGGCCTGCAGAGTCTGCAGCTGGCCAGCCCTCTGCCTGTTCTGCCTGTCCCTGACCTGCTGCTGCCTTGCTGCAGGAGAACCGCCGCCGTGCCAAGGAGGAAGTGTCTGCCATGGAGGAAGAGATGGCTTTGGCTGAGGAGCAGCTACGTGCCCGCCGAGAGGAGCAGGAGCGCCGTAACCCCCTGGGCAGCACAAGGTTGGTGCTGGCCTTGCCTGGCCAGGGGCTGCCTGCTTAAAAGCAGGAGTCATGAGCTGGGTGGAGGATCCCAACTTCCCCATGGGTGTTCTGGGGCTGGGAAAGGTTGCATATTCCACTAATCACCTTTGTCCTCTCCTGGCAGATCTACTAAAATCTACACTCCTGGGCGGAAGGAGCAGGGGGAGCCCCTGACACCACGACGCACCCCAGCCCGCTTTGGCCTCTGAGAAGGCAGTGCCCACTGCTTTGCGGCTGAAAGACTTCCAGGAGCAGCTGAGTCTTAGGAGAGTGCCCAGCTCCTCTGCTCACTGTACTCTCTGAGGTGCTCTACAGCTTGTGGCCCAGGCAGGCTTTGTTATTTGGCACTGATTTTGCTACAGAACAGAAAGAATTTTATTTGTTTAAAGGTTGTCAGTCTAATCCTTGCTTTATTTTGCACTGCTTCTTGTCCTGGAGGCGAGTGTTGGGTGGAGGAAGCCTTGCAGAATTGTGCAGGGCTGCTACTGTAAAGTTGTTGCCCTGTAGAGCCTGGGACAAGGCACAGAATTGAACTGACCTAGAGAGCAAAGACAACCTGTCCCTGGCCCAGCCCTGGCCTGTGCTACTGCAAAGGCAGTTCTCCCCCAGCCCCTGCCCTGGGCAGGTAGCCGGTGCACAGCTGTCCCTGCACACATAAGAGCACAGGCCCAGCCCTGTTTCAGGCCAGGCTGTGCCAGGAATTCAGCTCACCTTCCGCTGCTCACACTTGTGGTGCTGCTCATGTGTTCTGACCATCAGGTACGTGTTTTCCTCCTGCATCCTGCCGACTGTCTCTTGAAGATGCCTGAAGGAAAGGTAGGGGAGATGAAGTGATGGAGTGGTGCAGAGACAATCCTGATCTGCTGACCCTGCCCGAGCTTGGGTGGTCCAGCAGTTGTCCATCTGTCCCATACACCCCTGCCAGCAGCAGTAACTGCTGTGTGTGGAGAGCTCAGCCCCACTTCCCACATTCACCACTTACGCCTTTTCTCCTGTCAGCTCTGCGGTCTGCTTGGTTTGCCACTGGATCTTGTGCCCTGGTCTTTCATTTGACTGCCTGAAAACAAGGCGTGAGCTGAGAGCTGGTGTGAGGAGGCAACCACTGGCCCCTCGCTACTCCGGTAAGGCTTCTCACGCACATCTGCTCCTTCACACACTGGCTGATGTTGAGCAGCACCAGCTCCCTCTCCTTGTGTGGCCTGCCACTCTCGGAGTGTGCCAGAGCGTGGGAAGAGCGCAGAGTTTCTATCTGGAAAGAATGACCCCCGTGCCACGTGTGAACCAGCATGTGACTGCTCATCTCAGCCTCTGTGAGCCCAGGACTGAAGGCAGTTGGAGAAACCAGGCTGTGCTGGGTTTCTCTGGTGCAGCAGCCTTTGGGGCTGAGCAGGGGGTCTGGAGATGTTGGTGCCTCAGGAGAGCTGCTCTGGAGGAGAACTGCTACCCCAGCACTACTGCCTGTGAACTTCTGTCATAACATGGTAGTTCCATGCTGAGGGGCAAAGAGGGCTAGTTTAAGGAGAATGAGGTGCCCAGCCCTGCTGCTGCCAGACCCCCAGCCTCCCCCTTTGGCGGCCTGTGATCCGCAGTATGCCATGCCTTGTCCTGTTCTCCCCACCCTTCCCCTGCCTGGGGGCCGGGATCTGTTGTTCTGGGTGCTGGGGGCCCAGCCTGCACTCCTGCCCTTGGGCTGTGGTGCTGCCTGTTCCTATCCTGCACCTGCTCCGTGGCCTTGCTGAGCTCTTCCTTGAGGAAAGACAGCTCCACCTTGCAAACCACCAGCTCCTTTTCTCGCATAGCCAGAGCTTGCTCGCTGTCCTCGTGTAGCTGCTGCCAGTGCTGGGCTCGGCTGCTCAGCTCCTGCAGCCTCTCCTGAAAGGAGCGGGCCTGCCAGAGGAACAGAGGCAGAGAGAGAAACAGGCTGAGCACACGCTGACAGTGCCCTGGGGGAAGGCTTGGTACACACTTACCTCCTGCTTGCTCTGCTCCTGGGACCTCTGCAGATTGCTCAGCTCCCAGTGGAGCTTCTGCCTCTCTTCCTCATAGGCTGCAATCTTCTCCTCCTGCTTTGCTTTCTCTTGCTGGGCTTGGGCCAACTCTCCTTGCAGGGCGGTCATGTCCTGCACCTGCATGCAAAGTTGTGGGGCAGGGAGGATGGTTGGGCAGGCGGGGGCTCCCCCCAGGGGTTAGTGCTGCCCAGAAGCAGGAAAGGGTTCTCTGCAGCCCTTTGTCCCTCTGGCACTGCAGCCTGCATCGTGGCTGGCTGCATCTTGGACATGTCCTGTCCCTGCCCTCACCTGCTGCAGCAGCTCTGCCACACGCTTTCTGTTGGAGGCTACTTCTTGCTGCAGGTCTTGGATGGTCTCCCTGGCTCCACTAAGCAGCTGCAGACTTCGCTGCTCCCGTGCCTGGGCGGCTCCCAGCTCCTCCTGCAGGCCCTGGCTCAGCTCCTCCGGTGCCCCCAGCTGCAGAGAAGGCACTTCATTACTGGGTGCTGCACTGCTGGGATAGTGCTGCTTCCTGCCAGATCGAGGTCTGTACCCTCTCCTGGTGCTGATCCCAGCTCACTGCCCACTCCTGCAGCACAGGCTTTGCTGCGGGGCTTTATTCTCCCTCTTGAGGGTGCTCGTCCACCTAGTGCAGTTCTTGATAGAGCTCTTCCTTCCTGTCCTGCCGCCACCCCAGCTCCCTCTGCAGCTCCCACGGTGTGGTAGCCTGCTCCTGGCACTGGCCAAGCCCTGGGTTATCTCTGGGGGCAGGGGACAGTGGGACTGGGCTGACAAAGGGACCCCACAGCAGGTCTTGCCCACTACCTACCGCCTCCTTCAGGGCTTGGAGCTGCTCCTGGCTCCTCTGCAGCTTCTCTTTGGCCTGGGCTGCATCATGCATGTGTTGCAGCGCCTGCTCCAGGGTCACCTGCTGCTTCCACTGCCACTGGCTCAGCTCTGCCTGTAGCTGCACTGCCAGCTCCCTGGGGCCAGGGCACAGGCTGAGCTGCCGCAGCCCCAGGCTGCCCTCCCTTGCTGGCACGGGCACAGCCCTGTGCCAGAGACAACCTGCCCTACCTGCTCTGTGCCTGGTCAGCCTTGCTGCCGCCTGCTTGCCGCTGCAGTGCTTGCAGCTCGGCCTGGGGCTGCGCGCCCTTCTCCAGGTGCAGGCATGGCTGCTCCTCCATGCGCTGCAGGTTGCTCGGGGCTGGCGGCTGCTGTGCCAGTGCCTGGGCTGCTTGAGACAGTGGGGGCAGGCTGGCATTGCGTCCCCCCACCCTGTCACGGGACTTCTGTGGGAAGTGGAACTGCGCCGTGCTTTTGGGACACATGCTTGTGTGTCTCCTGTGCCCCCCTGGCTGTTGCCCCCCAGGCTCGGGGAGCTGCCTCTCTACCTTCCCAGTACGGCCCAGGGAATCACCCTTTGCCCTCTAACTCTGCAACCAGGGATGCCTCAAAAGCCCAGGGAGCCTGTGGTGCGCACGGGGCCTTACCCTTTCCCCATCATTGCACCAGGATGGACTGACTGCTGCTGTGGCATGTGGCCATGTAGTGACTGAGGGGGGAGGCACTGCCTGCTGCCTGCTGGGCTGCTTTCCTGCCTCATCCTCCCGCTGTGCGTGCACTGATCCTTATGGGTGCCAGGTGCCTCCTTGCTGCTGCTCTCTGCCTTTGGGGCAAGCCATGGGCTCCCCACTGGAGCCACCATGAGTGTGGAACCCCAAGGTGCTGGCTTCAGGCTCCAGCCCTCACATGTCCTGGCCCTGTGGCCCTGAACGGCCCCTCTTTGCCCACCCCACCTTCCTCAGCACTGCTGTGCGTGGCTGCCCTCCCCAGCTGCGTGTCCTGTGCCTGGTACTGGTGCTTCTCAGCTGCCCACGTCTGCCTGCAGCACAACATCTCTGCGTCTGCCACCACCGCTGTGAGCAGCACAGCTATGTGCTGTCTGCTGGCTCCCTCCTGGCCCCACGCACCAGTGCTGGGGCTGCTGGGCTGCCTGCACTGACCTGCTTGAGCCCCTCTGTGTTCTCCTCCTTCAGGATATTGTAGCTGGTGTCAGAACGGCTGTGGGTAGCCACGTAGGAGGTGACCTCTGTCTGCACCACCTCATCCTTCTGGTCCTGTGGAAAGGTGCATCGCTGGCCTGCAGGTACCCAGCAGGATGCAGGACCCCCCCTGATCGCGCCGTGCCCCGGCTGTGGAGGGGATGGGGCTGGAGAAACAGCTAGTTTGGGACAACTCGTGGGCAACGGGCTGTTGGGGGGGGGCTATGGCAGAGGGAAGTGGCCTGCACCAGGTGGGAGGCAAGATAGTTGCTGCCTCCTGGCCCTCTCAGCCCTGGGCAGCCCCACCCTGTGCCCTCCCTGTTGCAGCAGTGTTTGCTGGACACCCGGCAGCCCTGGAAAGGCATCCCTGTGGTCCCTGACCTGTGACAGGGTGCGAGCATGTGAACGAAGCGGTGAGCCCAGCTCGATGGCAAGGCTGTGGGCTGCCGCAGTGCCGCCAGCCCTGGGATGGTGCCCAGGGTGTCCGTGGGGCTGCTGGGGGCTGCAAACTTCCAGCTCCGCTCAGCTGGGTGGACTGGGCCACGGCAGCCCTGTGGCTGGGCTGCTCCGTGCAGGGTGCGGTGCTAAACCCTTGTCCCACGCGTCGCTGGCAGGACCTCCCCTGCCTCCCCTGGGGGGGCTGGTCGCCAGCTGATTGCACAGGCAGGGCTGTTGGGCGGGCATGGTGCCCAGCCCTGCAATGGCTGTTGGGGGCACATGGCCAAGGGCGGGGGGACTCACGCAGCCCAGCCTGTGGCCGTTGTGGCAGGCAGCAATACCTTGCCCATCACCGCCTGCCACTGCTGCATCAGAAAGATGAAGTCCTGGTGCTTCTGCTCCACTGCACTCTCCTGCTGCTGCAGCTGCAGCAGCCGCTCACGGTTCGTGCCCCTGCAGAAGTCCAGGTCCAGCTGCAGCGCCTGTATTGAGGCCAGCACCTCTGCTGGCTCCAGCTTCTGCTGCTGTGTGTCCTGGCATGCCCAGGGCTCCCCTTGCTCTGGCTCCAGCACCGACGACTGCCTTCGGCCCTAGGACACAGCGTGAGCGCTACCTGACTGGCTCCCTGCAGCGCACAGCCCATCCTGCAGCTCCTGCCAGGCACCGGGGCTGGACGACAATGCTGACACAGGTTTTGGTTGGAGAGCAGCAACGGAGTGTGTTGATGACTGCTGGGCGCAGACCTCCCCAGCAGCAGCGCCTTGTGAGTGTGTGTGTTCTGACAGTCCCCCTGGCTCACCAACAGCCAAGCCCCTGACACCGCCGGCACTCGGCACTGCCGTGATGCCAGTGTGAGCTGTGGCTGCTGTGGGAAATGGTGGCAGTGGGACCAGTGCAGCTGCAGCAGGACTGGACAAGACCAAGCCCTTCTGCTTTCCTCAGTCCTGGGGGATGAGCTGTCTGGTGCAGGCGAGGGCTGACCAGAGCCTCCTATATCACCCAGCCACAAGCCTGTGGCTATACGACCAGCACCCAGGAGGGGAGTGGGCTTGGCACTGCTCACCTGGGGCTGCCAGGTCTCTGCCTCCTCCTGAAGCTGCTGGATGGAGCTCCTCAGCTCTGGTGTTGCCTCCTCTGCTTCTGGCAGCCCTCCACAGGGACCCTCTGACTGGCTGAGAGGTGCAGGACCCTCCCTGGATGTGCCACATTTTGGCCACGCTCTTGCTGCTGGAGGGACCACAACATGGGACAGGCCTTCCCCGCTGGCCCCGGACAACCCTCAGTCCCAGGGAGGGAACAGCCAAGGATGTCACCCAGCCCTGCCTGGGGCGGCCCCTCCATCCCATGGCACCGGCACTGCAACTCCCCATCGCTGGCGCACCCAGTGCCAGCGGGAGATGCCGGGCCTGGGGCTGCTGCAGAAGTTTGGCAGAGCAGCACGGGGCCCGTGGGTCCCCCCTCCAGCAGCCCCTGCCCCTTCTCCATGGGGCACGGCCCCCACCGCTGCCTGCAGCCCTCACCCGACCTTTGTGTGCCATGCTCCTCCTCGACTGCCTCTGTCCCTGGCACATGCTGACACTGCCCTGTCTGCAGCCCCGGCTGTGTTCTGGGAACAATGACCAGAACCAGAACCTGGTGACCTCGTGCACGGTGGAATTCCCAGGGCTGGCGAGCCCCGTCCTGCCCCACCGGCATACCCAGCACCAGCATGTGTGGTGAGCGTCCCCGTGCCACGGCTGAGCCTCGCCAGCCTCACGCTGCCCTCGCACCCCCTTCTCCCCATGCTACCCCGCCTCGCACCGTCCCTGTGCTGTGCCCTGGCCCCAGGACATACCACAGGCAGTGGCGGGTGCCCCCGGGACGGCCAGGCGGAGCTGCCTCAGGCTGAGCTGGCCTGTGGCCCCTCGAGCTGCGCCAGGCTCACCGAGGAGCTATTGACCACAGCGACGGAGGCTTCTCCGTGTTTCTCCCTGTCCAAAAGGGTAAAGGTAACAGGCACGAGTTGTCGGAAATGAAATTTCAATTTCTCCACACCCTTCCCTGTCCATGTGGCTTCCCAGCACAGATCAATAGTGTTTAGACAGCCAAGAAGATTTTTCTCATCCCCTCTTAAAGCACCAGATCAATAGCAGAAAAAAAAAACAAACAAAAAAAAAACCCAACAGACCAAACTCAAAACAAACCCTCTGCCTGTATGCGTGTGCTCTAGCAAATGTGGACAAATGGGTCGCGGTGTGATGGCAGTGGCCAGGGTGGGCTACAGTGTGGCCCCTCTGCGCTGCACACCCTGCACAGGGCACGGGTGGTGGGACCCAGCACAGGGGCACATCCCGGCAGGGCCCCGGGCCCCCGGGGAGGCCGAATGCACCCCGGGAAGCTCCAGGGGCAGTCCCCAGGGGCGAAGAGAGGCTCTGAGGATGGACGTGAGCCTGGCTGTCAGCCTGCCTGGGGCTGCGGGCATCGACAAAAGCCCCAATCCGCAGGCACACCTGCAACACTGAGCTGCTGGGGAAGGGGCAAGCAGCTTTTGCAGAGAGAAGCCCTGCTGTGCAACCCGGCAGGAAACCTTCACCCTTTCCTAAAGGAAAACAATCAGCCAGCGCACAGGGAATGGACTGGTGCTCAGGAGCGCTCAGTGTCCAGCCCTGGCAGGCAGCAACCTCCAGCCAGCTCCTGGGGCACAGGAGACCTGCCCCAGCCCGTCAGGGTCACCCGGCAGCGGGTGGGCGGCACGGGCGCAATTTGCTGAGCTGCCGAAGGCCCACGTAACATGGTGACCAGGCAGCGAGGCCGTTCTAGGTCAGTGTAGCTAAGCGAGGAGCAGTCCCAGCCCACAGCAGCAAAACGCCGGTGCGGACGGGGTCGCTGGCTGGTGACATGGGGGGACTGCAGGGTGAGCCTCGCCCCCCAGGCTCGCTGAGGTGGGGGGTGGGTGCCCGGCTCAAGAGCTGTGTGGCTGGCCTGCCCTCCCCGTCGGGGGCCGCGGGGCGGCAGTGCGGGTGCCGGGGGTACCAGGGTGGGTGACACCAGCACCCCACAGCCGCCCTGCGGGGCTCCCGCTGCTGCCACCCCTCGCTGACACGCAGTGCCGCTTCACAGGTAAGTGTTTTAACTGGAAATTTCCAAGGCCAAGCTGGGCCCAGAAGGTGAACGCAGATGTACCATAATAGAAATCATCGGTTGCCATGACGACCTGCTCCACCAGCGGGTTGCAGCCACAGGCGGTGGGAGCAGGCCGCAGCACCAACAGTCCTGCGAGCAGGGCCACTTAACCCCCACTGTGCAGAACACAATTGAATTTAGCCCTAATTTCTGCCGGTGCAAGGGAACAGAATCTCCCTGCAGATTTCAATCTTGTTCAGGCAGTGGCAGCCAGGGCACAGGCCCTCCACAGGGCACAGAGCCTCCACGGCTGCAGTCCCCTGCCTTGCTGCTCCGGCACGGCCTTATTGCTGCTTTAATTAAAGGCAGTTGCCCTCCCCTGGCAGCACCCTGCACATGGCACACGTGCTGGGACTGAGCCCCGAGCAGCCCGCTCAGCTCTGCCTGGCTCAGCTCTGCCCGGCGCACAGCGGCTCGGCTCGGCACGGCTCGGCACGGCTCGGCACGGCTCGGCACGGCTCGGCACGGTGCACAGCGGCACGGCTCGGCACGGCTCGGCACGGCTCTGCTGTCCTGCAGCAGTACGCACCCAGAGCTGCAGCCCTGTGGGGCTGTGGGCAGCTCCAACCTGCCAGGGCTCAACCCTGCTCCGGCTCCTTGTGAGCCTGTGGGGCAGCCCCACAGCCCTGACCCACAGCCACCCACCCCTGCTCGCCTGGTGCTGGGAGGATGGAGGGGGCCAAACTGGACCCGCTGCTGGGTGAGCCAGCACCGCGCAGTACTGGGGTGGGAGTTGTCTCACTTTAATTACTGCCGTAATGTTATTCTTTTCAGTGCCACGTTAATTGAAATTAAACAGCTGCCACGTTCTGGCTGGGACAAAAGTGAATCCTTTTTCATTCCCCTCCGGTTTAATGAAGACTGACGTGCTGAGAGAAAACAAAGGCGATCCAGCTGCCGCCTCTCACTGGCACATGCACCAGCAATTACCAGGGACCCCGTGAGCCGGCGGAGACGCCCCGGAGCACCCCACAGCCGCCAGCCCCGGCAGCCTGGCCCCTGTGCCCAGGGTGCTCCCCCCAGGGGTCTGGCTGGGGGGACGGGGCACCCACGTTGCGGGGGATGCCAGCACAGGGGTGTCGGGGAGAGCCGCGCTGAGCCCAGGCTTTGATCCCCTCCGGTAAGAAGCATCCAGCCACCAGCCGTGTCCCAGTGCGGCTCCTCTGCATCCCGCACCGCTGGCATCGTCCCGTCCCCGCAGGCTTGGCTGGCTTTGGCCTCCCGACACTCCAAATCACCAACGGGCCCGTGCAGCCAGAAAGCCTAAGCTGAGCGAGCAGTGCTAGCCGAGGAGGGTAACTCTCTCCAGCCATAAGCTTTTTTCTGTTTTAGGACTAGGAGCTTGCTTGTGGTGCCATTCAGTACTTTAAAATATGCAAAATGAGGCACTGGTACAAACCTCATTAACACCCGCCTCCAACATCATTAAGATGTTTCCAAGAAAATTAATTGAGAGACTCATTAAAAATAAATTAAGAAAAATGTGTTGCAGAGCGCCTGCTCTGAGCTCGTAAATCACGGCTCAAAGCTCCAGGCCGCTGCACAGGCAATTAACGCCAGCCAATTTGTTTTATCCTGACTGCGAAAATTAGAAAGCAGACATGAAGATTAGATTAGGGATGTCTGTCAAGCGGAACTTGGGGTGAATATTTTAGGATACAAAATGGAAATCGGGAAAACAAATCTGGGACTTCATTTGGAGGAGCTGACAGGCAGAGGTGGGGAGGGAGGAGAGAGATTTAGATGTTTTCTGTTTCAAGGAGCAGCACCATGTCTGTATTTAGATATACACCCGTCTCTCGCTCCCGCTACCAGACAGCTCTCCATTTCCATCTCGCATCGGCAGTCCTTTGTGGCTGTGTGCACAGACACCGGCTGCCCCTTTAGGCAAGCGTGAGCTCAGACTGAGAGCGCACTTTGAATTTTCTGTGTATTACACAGCCCGAACCAACATGTCGCCTATATATACGCCGATTACACACTTGGATTAGCAAACACAGTGCAACTGGGTGCGACCACTGCTTAGGACTTAGTCAGCTTTGTGCCATTAGTACCCCTTTGTCCATCTCTAGCACCTTCTATCAGAGGATCTCAAACTACTTTATATTCATGAACCGAACAGCAGAGCCCTTCTGCAAAATGAGCAAGTGTTATTATCCCCATTTTGCACAGGGAAGCCAAAGCAGAGATAAGTTAAGGTCTTGCTTGTAACTATGTGAATGCATAAATAGTTTGTGTAGCAGCCGACATTGTATTTGCACATACCAGTAGTGTGTTGGACACCGCTGGCGACTCGTGCGGCCAAGCACCCAGCCATGGCTGCAGCAGACCCAGCCATGGTGTGCTCGAGGGGGCAGTTTGCAAACCTCCACAAGACAGCTAACAAACACGCAGGTCGAAGTGTCCTGCCTGTGATCAGCTGCACAGCAGGCACAGATCTGGAGTGACCTGGCAACGTGGCCCTGTGGCAAACGCTGCCTCTCGCCCGCGGCCCGGGCCCGGCGCCGGGGAGCCGGTGGGCAGCTCGCTGCTGGCCGAGGGGCTGTGCGGCACGGGCGGGAGTTCTGCTGCTCGGATTCAGCTGGCGCTGGCCGCCTCCGCGCCTGCATGTTACGTCCTGGCAGCCGTCCTAAATGGCCAGTGCTTAGAAAGCAATGATCATGCTTTTGCACATGGGAAGCAGGAAAACACCCCGCACAGAACAGCCTTTGATTCCTTATTTTCTTTGCTTGTCTGATGCTCATATCCTGAAGTCCAACACCTGATGCTTTTGAGTGGTATTTTAAAAGGAGAACTCTTCAAGTATGTGAACTGTTTTAGCTTTGAAGTCTCCTCTTGCATTTTAACCTGCCTTTCTCTGACAGCCCTTTCTTTACTGTCTCCTCCGCAGATTGGAGGGAGTGCTGCCTTTGTGTAGCCACTATATGTCAGTTCATTTAAACTTCAGTATTTAATGTGTATGCTAATAATATACATCCCTCTGTAATCCTGTCTGGTTTTGACCAGATACATCTACTGGCACCAGTGTGGGTCAAGCCCAATACGGAACAGTTTTTGCCACTGAAATATTTCTACTGGAAGCACCTTTCAACATAAGGAGCTTCTGCCTTCTCACAAAACGTGAGCCTGCATGTTGTGCACATGCTGACCCCCACCCCAAAGGCTCACTCTCTCCACGTAGGTTCCTGGGCTGCATGGTCTCTGTACCAGTGACCAATATACTGCAAGTGAGCAAATGGAAAGGAAAAAACCAGTTTGGAGTAGAACCCAGATGGGATCACTTCAAGCACGCTCTTGGAGCATGCAAAGAAGCACCGAGGCTGGTGAACTCCTCCAACAACCTATGTCGGAGCAAACGGTAGCATTTTTAACTAATAAATGGAAGAAAACAAAGAAACTCTCGATGCTGTGTCACCCCAGGTGCAGGCAGATGACATCAGGGCACTGCAAAATGTAGAATCCTGCTTTCAGGAGCAAAGCACAGGCACTGCTGCAGCAGCGCAGAGCCTGTCCTGGGAGCACGGGCTTGGTGGAAGTCATGGTAGGCTTGGAGATTAAGCAGCGGCTTGTGTGTGCTCAGTGGAAGTGGTGGGCTATTGAGTCAACAGGATCGCTGAGCTAGTGACAGGAACATCTCAGCAAGGAGCTGTGGTCTCTTGGTGGCGGCAGGAGCTCACATGCTCCTGCTGCTCCTGGTGCAAGGGGGTGTTGGAGCCCTGGGAAGGGCTCCAAGAGGAGCCACTGCCTCAGCCTGCACGACTCAAGTGATGCTGCCCACGGGGTTGAGTAGAAAACAGAGAGGGGTGATTTGCTCACACATCTGTAAGTGGTTTTGTGGAAAACAGTCAATAACAGAAGGCTCTTAGATCTAGAAGGCAAAAGTACAGCTCATGCTGATGACTAAGAAGAAACAAGCCAAACTTAAACTGGAAATAAAGCATATGCACTAATAGCTAACTCTTGGCAGAGTAAACTTACTGCTGCAGATGTGCCATCAGTGGACATTTAAAACAAAGTCTGGCCAGCTTATTTCCATCTCTGCTCAGCCAGTTACCGAGTCCAAAGCAGACACTAATTCTGGTGGTCCTGTGATGGGGTGGGAGATGCCATGCTGGGTCTTCACAGCCCCCTTTGGTGCCTGGGGCCAGACACACCCGTTCCTGGGCTGGTCTGGGGGCGTATGGCCGGGCTTGAGCTTGAAGGGGTGCTCCAGGCACCGGGTGAGCTATTGCAGAACTACTGAACGAGATCTTGGGCTTAAAGATTTACCTGGGTTTTCTGTCCTGCTCAGAGGGGCTACTCCAGTGTAGCAGGTGAGCTGAGGCTACGTGTGCAACAGCGTTGGCAGGCTGAGGGGACCATGGGCACGATCATATCGTGCTCAGGCTGAACTCCAGCTGAAACACTTCTGTTTTGCAGCTAAAATCGTACGTGCTGAGCTTTTGTGTGAAGATGCATTTAATTCAAATGTTTGATTAACCTCCTTTCAACTATCTCCGAGTTATGGAATGAGTGGAAAAATACTTGCATGTAAAAAATTACTAGTGTTAAAAATAATTCTAACCACGGGAAAAACAGCTACATTTTTTTTAGCTTAACCAGACTTCATCCTCATGTGGCCTCACTCCTTCCAGAGAAACAAACACTTGCAACTACAACAAAAATGCTTTTGAGCATGCTCAGATGGTATATGCAAAGCCTAGAGGGGAAAAAAAAAAAGGGGGGCGGGGGGGAAGAGTAAAACTAAAGGAACCTCAGTCTAATCCTACCATCTCCCTCAGCCTGACCATGGAGTGATCTGTGGATGTCATTTGTACAACAGAACTGAAAAGAAATCTTAAAATAACCAGATCTCCCCCTTATATCTACCACAGAAGTCAAGCACGTGCCTAAAACCTGATAAAGGAGGAAAGGACAGCTGTAGTAACACCCGACATCCCACGAATTAGAGGCTTTAGGCTGTCTTATTGTTCTGCAGTTTTTTAGCTGTACTTTGTGTGTATGCTTGCTTACTGAGACCAGCGATAGCAAGACCGATGCCTCTCCCTGAGGCACATGCGCCCTCCCACCCATCAGACGCGGTGCAGAAGGAGAAGGACAGCTTCACCTTGGGGCGCAGCGGGGGCAGCCGGAGCCCCCTCCACCAGGGTCGCCCCGGCAGATGCACCCTGGGGTGCGGGGGTCCACGGCGGCGGCGCTGGGTCACGGGTCTGTGCCGGCGGTGGTCCATGTGGAGAAGAAGACTCCCCCAGGAAGGTTTCCCAGGTTTTCTGCGGTTTCAGCACTCAGACCTGGAGGCAAGGGAGAAGGGAAAAGGGGCTGCTGCCGAACAGCTGGGTTTCTCCAGCAGGATTTAATGGGGAATGTGTTTATTGTCTGATCTGAAAATAGGAGAGGAAGCAACCAACTTGCATCTAGAGATAGGGAGCTCTTCCACCTCAAGGGACAGAAACTGCGAGAAACCACAAGTAAGAGAAGTACAGATGTCTCCACGGCCAGCCACTGGCATTGGCTCCGTGACAGTGTGCAAAGTCAAAAATCCAAGTGCCCCGGAATTTGTCTGGGGAAGGGTTAGTCCAGAGCTCCTTGAAGAACTCTTGAGAGCTGCACCACCTGAGGATTGCTTATTGATTTTAGTGACAAATTTAACAAAGGTGATATGTAGCAGCCTGGCAGAGCTTGCTGCATGGAGTGCTGTTGCGTCATGCTGCAGTGTGCCAGCTCCTAGCTGAACGACTCCTGATAGCCCCAGCATGAATTTTGGGTGAGCCAGACAGGCAATTGCCAAAACTAGGTAAGAGGACAACAAGAAAGAAGCAGAAAAAGGATAGGAGGCTGAAAAAGGCTGGGAAGCCAACAAGAAATTAAAGGCCAAAAAGAGGTAGAGGCTGACAAAAGGTGGGAGGACCGAAAAGAGGTAAGAGGTTAAAGTGAAAGAAGAGGCTAAGAAAGGGTAGGAGAACAAAAAAAAAAAAAAGGTGGGAGGCTGAGGGCAGGGAGGCTGACAAGAAAGTAGAGGCCAAAAAGGGGTAAATGTGGAAAAAAATAGTGGCTGAAAAAGGGTGGAAGACCAACAAAGGGATGGGAAGCCATCAAGAAAGTAGAGACTGAAAAGGGATGGGAGGTCAACAAGAGAGGATAAAAAGGGATGGGAGAACAAGCAAGGGAAGCTGGAAAAGGAGTGGGGGAGGTCAGTAAGAAAGAAAAAGCCAAAGAAGGATGAGAGGCTGAAAAAGGGTAGGAGGCCAAAAGGGGGTGAAGGCTGAAAAAAAGCTGTGAGGCTGAAAAGGGATGGGAGTCCAAAATGGTGCAGGGGACCAACAAGAAAGCAGAGGATAAAAAGAACAACAAAAAGGACAATAAAACTCTTATTGGAATTCCTCCCCTTTTTGGCCTTTTCAACTTCTACTTTCTTGTAAGCCTCCCACTTCTTTTTGGCCTCTAATTTCATCTTCGCCTGCCACCCTTTCTCTGCCACTACTTTCTTGGCCTCCCACTTAATTTCTACCTTCCATCCCTTTTTGGCCTCTATTTTATTGTCAGCATCCCACCCCTTATCAGCGTCTACTTTTGTGGTGGCCTCCCACCCTTGTTTGGCCTCTCACCTCTGTTCAGCCTCCCACTCCTTTTCAGCATCCCACACTTTTTTGGCCTCTATTTTCAGGTTGACCTCCCACCTCTGTTCAGTCTCCCACCCAAAGCTGGAGGACAGATGGATGTTGAAGGTGGGGAGGGCTGGACAACAGGTAGATGCTGAAAAAGAGAGCGGAAGCTGAAAGAGAGCGGGAGAACAGGGGCAGCTGAAGTCTGAAAAGGTGGAGTTTGGAAAATAAAGTGGAGGCCAGAGGGCAGGGGGAGTTGGTGGGGAAAGAGGGGGATGTTGAGGAAAGGGATGGCTGAAAAATAAGTGGGAGACCAGAGGGCAGGTGGAGGCTGAAAAAGAACTGAAGGAAAAAAAAAAAAAAAAATCAGGAGGCGAGAGTCAAGGAGAAGGCCAGTAGGTACAGGCTGGACAGAAGGCAGTGGGAGGCCAGAAAGCGATGGGGAGGATTAAAATGTGAAACCAGAGAGTGGATGGGGTCAAAAAAGAGGGGATCTAATGGGGTGGGTGTCAGAGTGAGCCACAATAGGTGAGTGTGGCTGAGAAAGGGTGGCGAGGCCAAAAAAAGGGGGCAAAAGGAGGCTTAAAAAGAGCAGACATCAGTGTGGAGGAGACCAAAACTGCTAGTGGTGTGAGGCCAGAGGGAGGCTGAAAAGGGAGTAGAGGGTGAAACGGGGGGCCCAAAAGCAAGTAGCAGTCCATAAAAACTCTGAGGCCAGATGTCTGACTACAAAAAGAGTGTGAGTAGGACACGAAAGGGGAAGGGGTGGCTGGAGGGGATGTGGAGGCTGAAGAGACAGGGAGGCCCGAAGGGGATGGTGGGGGAGGCAGGAACGGTCAGGGGGGCAAGCGGCTTAACGGAGGCAGGCGGCGACCAGAGCCTGGAGGGAAGCGAAAGGAGAGGGGGTCCAAAAGGCGAGGGGGAGGCCTGGAGGGCAGCGGGGAGGCGGTCGCGTTGGTGCCGGGGGGGAGATGGAGCCCGCGGGCGGGAGGGAGCTGAGGGGAGCGGCAGGAGGAGGCGCAGCGGAGGGACTGCGGGGCGGGGGGGGGAGGGGGGCCCGGAGGGACGGTGCCGTGTCCGGTGCGGGCGGAGGATCCCGAGCGCGGGCGGAGCGGCCCGAGCGCGGGCGGAGGGGCCCGAGCGCGGGCGGAGGGGCCCGAGCGCGGGCGGAGGGGCCCGAGCGCGACCGGAGGGGCCCGAGCGCGGGCGGGTCCCGGCGCGTCCCGGCCCCGCCCCGGATCCCTCCGCGCCGCGCCCCGCCCCGCCGCCGCCGCCGCCCGGCAGGGGTCGCTCTCGGCCCGCGCTGTGGCGGCCCCGGGACCCGCCGGCCCCCGCCGGGACCCCGGTGCTGCCGCGGCCGCCGCCTCGCCCGGTCCCGGCCCCTCCTGCCGCTGCCCGGCCGGGCGGGCCGCCCCGGGGGGGCGCGGAGGCCTCGGGCGCCGCAGACGCCATGCCGCCCGCCGAGCGGCACCGGGGCCCGCCCGGGGCTGGGGGCGCGGTGTCGTCCGTCCGTCCGTCCGTCCGTCCGCCCCCGGGACCCAGCCGGGGCCGGTGCAGCGGGCGGCGGTGCCAGCGGCAGCCGGGTGGATTCACGAAAGGGGAAACGGGAACAGAGTTTGCCTTCGCGGAATTTTAATAAGGCTTAAAGGTTTTTTTCTCTGCGGTTCTAGCGATAATTTCCAATTCTCCGTGTTGGTAGGAAGCTGGTGCCTCTGGTCTAATCACCTTTGGGTACTGTGCTGGGCACGGTGTTTGGCTGGTGAGGGATATCAACAAACAAACGGTCAGTAGCACGGTCAGAGTCTACGGGGGAGAGAGAACCAACAGGAAAGTCCTGCGTGGCTTTGCATTCTACAGTGAAAATGATGTCATTATCCTTTCCAGGGTCTCAGCTAGCTACTTGAGAAATACTAAAAAAACATTGCAGCCCGTGGGAGAGGGTCCCCTACAGAGAAGGGAGAAAGAACGAACTGGAAATGTAAAAACAGAGTAGGAGGAAATGGCTGCGGTGGCAAAAGGTAAGTAGGAACGTGCCCTTCCTGCATTTCCAGCACAGACTGAGCGCCAAAGCCAAATCCTGGGGTAGAGAGAAGCTCTGTGTGCATCCTTTGCCCCTCCAGCCCTCCGCTTCTCCCCTTGAAACCTCGGGCGGGGGGGGAGTTGCGGCATGTGGTGCCTGCGGGCGCCCACCCAGCCGTCACAGAAGCCAACCGTTGGCGTTCGTGTTGCTGGAACACCGGGTACCTCGACTCACGCCTGGCACACCGCCGCGGGTGCCGGGGGCAGCCTGGGGGCTTTGCCGGCAGCAGAGAGGCCGCTGCCTCCTGTGCCTTCCCAGCGCCCCGGGGACAGGCCCAGTGTCACAGAAGCACAGAGCAGGGGCCTCCCGAAACCATCCTGCCTGCCCAGGGCTGTGTCCAGTCGGGTTTTAAACACCTCCACCCAGGATGAGCAATGCCCAGGCAGGCACAGGAGCGACCCTGCAACCGTGAAGGTGTACACCCACCCGCCGGGGCTGCCTCCTGCCACGTGCTGGCAGTGCCTCTCCATCACCTCTTTACTCTGTCATGGCACCCATTTCCACCACTGCTACTGCAAGCTGCTCCTTGGCTTCTTGTGTCGCAGAGAAGGACGTACGTAGGCTGTGTAGAAGCTGCCACATGTTGCTATAAGGAACCACGAGCTAGAAATCAGCAGGAAGCAGAGATCCTGCTGGAAGAAGGAAGGAGGGAGAGAAGGAAAAGCAGTGCTGCTCAAGTCTGCTGACAGAACCTGATGCCTTGGTGGTTCTTACAGTTACGGCCACTAAGCTGCTGGGAGATGGTGCACCCGGACAGCTACATCAGTATTGGCTCGGGGCGGGTTTCCTCCCGAGCCAGCAGCAATGGCAACAGCAGGTGGGAAAAGATGAGGGGGAAACGTGGAGGCTGAGGAGGCAGAAACCCGAGGGAGCTGGGTAAGTGAAAAAAAGACTTGTGATGGGGACCACAGGAAGAACTTCCACAGGGTGTGTGGGCAGGCAGGCATGGGAATGCAGAAATAGAGGCAGAAAGAGAGTATTCCTCATGCCCTTTATTTGCTTGTGGTTAACCTTAAGTCTCTGGCAAAAAAGAAGGGAGTATTCTAAGATACAGAAAAGATAAAGCATAAAACGCATGGCAAACAAAGTTGAGACCATACTGCTGCTGCATAGAAAGCTTCATTAGCCCCACTGGCACAGCAATAATCAGAAAAATTAAAAAAGTAGGAGTGCTGCAAAGGGATTGACTGCCAATGGAGGAAGTAGTGCATTTGCCATCTCTTGATGTCTTCAAGCCCAGCTGAACGCCCTTCCAAAGCTGCCTTTGTCAAACAAGTTATTGAATTCAGCAGTAACATGGTGAAATTTTCTTGGCTGCAGGTACAGAAGGTCAGACTGCACGATCCTTTCCTGTTCACTCTGTGAATCTACAGAAAGAAAATGTGAAGAAGGATGAAGAGAACAGGCCATTATTTGTGTTCTTTGATAGTGACTTAACATCAGTGTTTATCTGCAGGAGCTCCAGCTGTGTTCACTGGTTAGGTGTGCTTGTGCTGAACGGTGAAGGAGCCACCTGGCAGAACTCTTGAGCAATGAAGCCGGCTGCCCTTCAGCTCTGAACTGTGCAGGCTGCATCAGCTGAAGCGTGTGGGCCTGTCCCTGATCCACG